GTATTTTCCTCATCGGTAATCCACCCCGTCACAGTCTCGGAATCGGAGGAGAGAGCAATGAGGGAGGTGCACTAGTAGGTCAGACACCGCCCATACGACAAACGTGGAAAGCGGATTTGACTCCTCAGCGTTTGCTTCTCCGACTTGAGCTTTTGCTTTTTCCTCGATTGTCATTTTTCCTTGATTTTGGTTCACCCTAAGGAGCTTATAGATGTAGAAATTAGCCTATCGAATCAGTTAGTATAAACCTTACAATGCTCCACATAAGTATCTCTGGAACATACAAAAATTGTTTGAAAAGAATTTTCCCAGCAATGTACTCCGATAAAAGTGGAGTTTTTTTCACTTCCATTCTCATAAGAGTGGTTTTGTCAAAAATGATTTCAAGTCAATTCCTGGTAGAATCGAGTGCAGGGCAGTACATGCCACACGTACAGCCTTATCTCAGGGCAAGAAGAGGCGTGGCTGCTAGTGTGCTGAGGGTCCAGACGAAAGGCAACGGAAAACGTGCAGTCTTGTTTTCTGCGCAGATTAGAGCGTTTCAGGGACGTTTCAGGGTGGGGGGTGAGTATAAAGCGGCGCCTGCCTGTTCTCCTGCAATTGTCCACCAATTGTGCAAGCTGGGAGGAGACTACAAATGGTGGGGGCAGGCAGGCGTTACGTCGACACCCCTCCCTACCCCTTCCTGAAACGCTCCAGCGTTTGCAGAGAACAAGACTGTATGTATAAGAAAATTGGCAGGGATACTTATCCATTGTGGCAAACGCTATCCCTGACTGCCTCCGTCCACACAGACAGCGCCGTACGTCTTCCGGGATTTTTGTTCCCTGGTGATCCCCCTTCGGAATCATTTTTCTAATAAATATATTTGGATGACGCATAACGTGTGAGAAAACCGCAGCTCGAGGGCGTGAGAGAAATCCCAGCATATCGATGAAGCGCTGGGAGAAGCTGGATGAAATCGGTTTTCTAGGTGGATGATGTGGCTATCCGTCATGTGCAACTCTCTACTGGCAGTTCATATCAGTTTCAGCTATATGGAGATATCTATTTGGTAAGTGATTTGATTCCTCTGACAAACTGCCCTCGCAGCTTGGTCAGCCCTTCTACAAGTTGTTGTAAAAAAGGATATCGACTAGGCGTGCAAAATCAGGCTCTGTTCGGCTTGGAAGGACATTTTGCTCTTGCTGCAGTTCCATTTGCTAATTCTGCTAAATTACACGTCATACCTCACTGAGACGTGTAGAATCTTGTCAAATGTGTACGGAGCTCCTGTCCTTGTATAGCTTCACGAAAAATTAAAGATCTACAGAAGGTCTCGGCAGTGATTGATGGGAACCAGCAATTGGTCCCCACCGAACTAAACTAATCCCAACATCAGTTACCGCCCTAAAGAAGGTGTGGGAGGGCTGAAGAGTGTAAGATGCATGAAATAAAGGAAACAGTCATATCAGACTTCGATTTCAGAGTTGGGAGGACACGCGACTTCGTTGGGATTCAACTGAATGGAAAGTGGAGACTTTCTACATACACGATTCCCACAAAATCTGGTCACCTAATCTGATCGATCATAGGTAAAGTGGTAGTACATTGAACTTTCAATCGTAAGGCTACCCAGAATGATTGGGCGGCTCACTTCGAGGCAATGCTCACAATCTGAGGCACCATCGATAACACTATTCATGAGATAACAGTCTTGTTCGCTGCGGATGTTGGCGTGTCAGGGGGAGGGGGACTGGCGCGACGGTACCCCGTTCCGCACCACACTTGTTGAAGCGT